GGGTACTTTCCCTCAATATTTTTAGATTCTGTTTAGGATTCAGCTGTAGCCAAAGACCTGTCATGTAGAGCTATGCTATTTATTATTGTCACTGAGATACATCATCATATAAAAATTCTCATTTGCATTGATGCTCCACAATTTTGAAATTTAATTAGCTCAGATTATTGTTCGTAACACTTCATATGTCCCTCTTAGCCACAAATAAATAACATAGCTCCACAGTACTGCTATTGAAGAGTTCAACGCTACAAAATTTGAAAAAATTGCTTCACAAAAACACGATGAAAAGTTCCATAAGGCTGGTCCGGTTGGCAATAAATGTGAAGCTGAGAAAATCGCATTTGAAATTTCAACATGCACTGCCAAATTTTCTATAAGGAACTTTTACCACAAACTTTATACACATGTTCCCCATCTATTCCCCTGCAAAACAAAACAAAATATGCCTTATTCCACCCTTGAAATCATTTTTAAAAAATTTTTCCAATGTGGAAAGGATTATCAGAACTCCACCATGACAAGCTGTTAAGGGTTTTTGAAAAAGCTGTGGGGTATGAGGCTCAAACGACTAGCTGTTAGGCAGCATGCTGGCCTGAATAATAAGTTGCAGTGTTCTGGTCCCTCAAGGGACCATGAAAATGTCCGGAGATAGGGCATTTGCCCAGAAAAACAAATGCCCACGAAAATGCCCCTTTTTATAGGTATTTTTTTGCTGACACAGAGGGTTACGGCTGCAGTAAAAAATTCTCGTTGCAATCTTGTAAATGCATCGTTTAGGTGGCTTTGAAAAGAGCCATTTATAAAAAAAAAAATGATGTTACCGGTGCTACCTCAGTGGTCAACACGTTGGCCCAAAAAGTCTCCTATTTTCTTCTGCATGGCATTCCGCTTGCCCGCGATAATGTCTGCCTCAATTTCAGCTACACGTCATGCTGTCGCTGTTCACCGATGACAGTGTCATCAGTGCTCGCGTCAACTCCGAGCTCGTTGGCCATGTAGGTACTGCCGAAAATCGGATAGCGAAGGTTATAAGCGCCGACTCCAAGGAGGTCGAACTTTCGGGTAGCCAACTTTCCCGACGAAACGGTCTTCGTTTGCGCTGATTTCTCAACTCACTGTGCCTGCTCCGCCGTTGAGTAGTACACAGCATCAATCCGAAGTGTATCGCTCGTCGAACTTGGTCCCACGGTGTCATCAGTAGACAGCGTCGTAAAAGTTTCCGGTGGATCCAACGGATTCGGCGCCTGCTTGTTCAAAGGGCAAGGTTCCGTCTGGCGTCTCATACCACAGTTGCTAGATTTTGGGGTGGTTGTTGCCAAACTGCCGCCAGATTTGGCAGAAAAATTTGCCCTTGTAGTTGTGGCTTCTTCGTGAGGGTTTGGTGTCGTCCGAAGTGCGTTTCGCGAATGCGTGAGCTACGTTTTAATTAACCAAATGAACGTAAAACGTGCGTTGCAGAAGTCGGGGCTCGTTCTCTTGCTGTGTTCACTGGTGTGCAATAAAGAGATCGTGTCGCAGAGTTAGGGCGTTGTCCGCCGTGCATTTCGCGAGTGCGTGTGCGATGAACTTGTTCGCGAGTGTGTATATCCGATGTACTCCAATTTCCAGCCTTGGCACGTTTATTCTTCATATGTACACGATTCCGAATGATATGTCTTGTGCTGACACGCCAGGGGAAGCCTAGCCGGCTGCGACTCTATTCAGTTTCCCCGCCGTCCCTAATACTGAGACGCGATCTCTTAATTGCACAGCTGCGCATAAAGCAAGAAAACACGCCTCGACTTCTGCAACGCGCAGTTCATTCTGTTAATTTTGTCGCACATGCACTCGCAAACTAGTTCATCACACACGCACTTCCGAAATACACAACAGACGACGCGTCGTTGATTGCACAGCAGCGCACACAGCAAGAGAACGGGCCCCGACTTCTGAAATGTGCGTGTTACGTTCATTCCGTTAATTAAAACGTAGCTCACGCACTCTCGAAATGCACTGCGGACGACACCAAACCCTCACAAAGAAGCCACAACTACAGGGGCACATTTTTACACCAAATCTGGTGGCAGTCTGGCAACAACCACCTCAAAGTCTGGCAACTAGGGTATGAGACGCCAAACAGAATTTTGCCGTTAAGGCCATTTTTCACGGCTTCCAAAAGCTCGTCACGTCGATAGTTCCAGACAAGAGTCTCCAGGCCTCTCGATCGCGGTGAAAAAGTACCGGTGCAAAGCGGCAACACGGTGCGTCGAGAAACACGCACTATCACAAGAGCAGACGCACACAAACTGATGGCCACTGCGGGGAACGCAACACAGAAAAAAAAGACGCGTTGGTCACCCCAGCCAATGGGAGACTCGGAAAAGCGCACCACGTGAAGGCCAATCAGTGATCTGGAAATAACCTTTATAAAACCCGCGATAGCAGCCATTCCGCTTGAGCGACGCCATCTTGAGATGGCGCAAAATGTGCACAAAGAAAACAGCTTCAAATGAAGACCAAGATGGCGGCGCTCGGCCTGCCGCAATGCACATGGCGCGCGCGGGAATTTTGAACAAATTTTGTCATTTTGGGGGCATTTTAGTGTGACCGGTGTGAATCGAAGGCCGAT